CTCATCTTGGCATAATCAATAATAACCCCAATAATAAAAAGATGTGAGTTTTGGTATTTTATAAGCTGGAGAACATGTTGCTAGGACCTTTTTAGCCATGCACAACCTTATTAGAAACAGCTACACCAAAAACTTTAAGGGCAAATATGGCCACAACAAATATAAATCATTGGGTATCTCTATAAAATAGTTGTTTCTTGACACAGCAGATAATTTCCCTAACCTTTAGAACTGGTTTTGTTTTCTGTTTTGTTTGTTTGCTTTATGATCATCTTTGACTTTATCCTCACTATTGTATTATGAAAGAATTAAAGTATTCAGAAAAAATTAAAGTTTTTCAGTGCACAATTGTATATCTGCCTCAATTATACAATTACCATTTTACTTCTTTAGTTTTCAAACTTAAGGTATACTTTAAATATAGTAAAATGTATCCTTTTTGGTGTTTAGTTATGTCATCTTTGTCAAACACCTTCAGTTGCTTAATACCCATCACAATCAAGAAATAGGACTTGATTTTTTTAATTCCCACATACCCATTTGTATTCTATCCCATCCCCCCACTTTCAGATCCTAGCAATCATTGGTCTGTTTTCTATCCTTAGGGTTACCAGATTTAACAAAGAAAAATACATGTTTTTGAGAATACTTATACTATTTTAAATAATTTATCTGAAATTCAAATGTAACAGAGTATTCTATATTTTATTTAGCAATTTATGTACTTATCATTTTGGTGCCCTATTAAAAGATATGAGGCCAAATCCAAATTTCAAATACGTATGTTCCTGTGTTTTCTTCTGTAAGGTTTTATCATTTTCTATTTTGCTGTTAAGGCTATAGTCAAATCTCAATTTATTTTTACATAAGGTATGAGATTCATGCCAAGCTTCCTTTTTTTTTTCTGAATGGAAATGTCTAGTTGTTTCAGCATATTTTCCTGAAAATATTATTTCTCCATTTAATGGCTTTTGCACCTTTGTCAGTAATCAAATGGTCATAGTCATATCTCTGTGGGTCTAATTCTGATCTCACTGTTCTGTTCCACTGATCTTT